TAGGTCAAATAATAGCTAACCTTATCGTGTTTTGAAGTTTTTTTGAAAATTTTTTCGTAAAAATTCCAAGCTTTTACCCAAAAATTCTTACCGTTGACTTACCATGTATCAAAAAACTAATTAAAAACCCTTCATTACACAACATACACGTAATTAACCTTTGATATTTACAAATTAGTTAACACGCGCCAACATTTTTGCGAAAAAACTAGACATCTCCACACAAAAATCAAAAAAATTACGTTTTCCTTACCATTACACAAACCATAAAACCTTACCATCGGTATTACCTATCTTAATACATTGTAGACTCTATACCCAATCTTAATACATAGCATGGCGGACCGGAAATCTATAACGTATCTTAATACATGGGGTCCGCCATGCACCCCCCCCCCCCCCACTTAACCTCCAACATCTACTACTCCTGCTACACAAATGGATTTTAAAAAAACTAAGCTTTCTGACAAAAATAATTCAGGAAGCCTTTAAAAAACATTAATTTAAGAAAAACGTAAGACAGCAGCTACTTTTTGGTATTACTGGTAAAAACCATTTAAACGATGAAGATCGCGACCCTTTTGCACTACCTCTAAAAATGCGAGGATTAGACATCCTCAGTAACACGGACTTTTCCAGATTTGATGAGTGGTCACGAGCCATTTGTGATCCGTTAGAAAACAGTGATTCAGATATAATCAAAATAGAACATTTAAACTGAGAGACAAAAAATCCAAAAACGGTCTCTGAAGTGAATATGCAACGACAGCAGTAGCTCTTACGAAGCCTAATTGTTGCGATAAACTTATTGAATAGTTTAATGATATGATACGCTCATAATGGTACGCTCGTAAGAAGAAGGCCCGGTACGGAATTTTAGAGACAAGCTCAATACTCCCCCTATTCCCGGATATCCCCACCGGAAACCCCATCCGTGAAAAACCAGATTGTATTCGCTTTCATTTTTTTTTATTTGTTGCTAAAATCCATTTCTTCAACCCATTTTACAATCTCTTCTTTCTCTTGTTTTGCCTCTTTTGTACCCTGTTTATTAAATGTCCGTGACGAAGTACAGGCCGAAGTGGCTACCCAAGTGGAGCAGAAAACTGTTAATAGGAACCTCCAGGACCAAGTACTGCAGCCTCAAAATGTCAAAGCCACGGTTCACTCGTACAGAGGTGCAAAAAGCCATTCACATCTAGAAGATGGTATGTAATCATCCTATAGAACTGGTAGCGTATGCTTTGCAGTGTTAGTGAATCGGAACGCAGTGATGACAATATTTTAGATCTTGTAGATACTAAATGATGCCAAGTTTTTGCTTTGTTAGACTGCTTTATTAAAATCCGACTATTTTTTTCCTTAGTCAGCTCGACTGGCGGTTGATGTTCAGTGTTTTGATTGAAATTATTGAGTTTAGGAGTCGCAAGTTTCTGGACTTCACGGAGAAGTGTTTAATTAAGAACTACAGAGAGCGGCCTAACGCGGAGCAGATGCTGACCCACTCCTTCTCCAACTCGACTATTCCTGACAAGATAGTGAAAAGGCGGATACACTGTCCCAAAGGTGGATACACTCGCCTAAGACATAATGAGAATCGCGATACCTGTGCGACACTCGTGGACGAAGTATGCCATGATGTTGAAATAGAGCCGAAACTTCAATCATTGGAAGGCGAAAGATTTCACAACAAAACAACCACTACTGAAGATGACGCTCGACTTGACATCAAGGAAAAGGGACTCTGGGAAGGCCGATTTAGCCGAACTTTTTCCGATGTAAAATTTTCAACCCTCATGCTAAATCCTGCCCTAAAACTTTATCTGACGCCTACAAAAATCAGGAGAGTGTCAAAACAATAAAATACCAACAAAGAATTCTGGATGTGGAACACAGCAGCTTTGTTCCACTATTTTGTGCGTGTACCGGAGGAGAAGCACCAGGCTCTACAAAAACAGTCCAGTAACTAGCAGAGAAACTGAGCGAAAAACGGAGCGAATCATACTCGGACACAATAAACTTTAAAAGAACAAAAATAAGTTTTGCACTTCTGAGGAGTGCAATCCTCTGCCTTAGGGGTGCAAAAATCTTAAAAATACATCCAACATAGACATGTCTATCTGTGCTATAGTCGAGGAGGATAGAGTTTAATTGGCAATTCTCTTGATGCCTTAAAATCGACTTGATTTATTCATAAAATTTTGCCGATGTATTTATATAGCGTTGGTACGGCCCTATCCAACCTGTGCACGTACCGTCGCATGACGGAAGGGCACATTTTAATTGACGTTTTTTCAATAAAAACATCCAAAAACGGTCTTTGAAGGGAATATGCAACGACGGCAGTAGCTCTTACAAAGCCTCAAAATTATCTTGCGAAAATTTGCCGTTATCTCTTAACGTGCAACTACACGTTTAAATAGTTCTTTTGAAAGAGAGACGTGGAAAGTACTAATTCAGTTTCGACGATTTATTGCGGTTAGCTCTTCAAGAGAAATCGTCCTCAATCACAGCAAATCTCAGAAAAAATTGTGCGAATGAAACTTTTTCTACAGAACTCGCGCATAAGTCAACAGGTTAACTTGAGCAACAAATTTCGGAAATCCATGCGGTTTGAAACTGCGTATTCTGAGTGTCGTGTGGCGACACTTCAAAAAGAATTACAACTGTGTTATCACGTCAACTGGACGAAAGTAGACAGTCTTCCACAAAGTTTTGAACTAAGGAGATGATTCATGTGACCAATTTTGTGAAACCCTAATTATCGTGATTATTGTTATCTTTATTTTTATTATTATTAGCATGATTATTGAATTATTATGATTATTATTATAGACGAACCAAATGTTTTATCTGTTTGATTAAATGTTTCAAAGGGAGTCGAACTATTTTGTTTTGTATTTACCTTGACTGGAATTAGTTGTTTTTAAAAGCATTGCTTTTTCATCTTTATCAAAGAAGTTTGTAAATTTTTGTGTGCAGTTATATAGGTGGCATCAAGTTATAAATGACCCCTTAGTTTTCCATGGCATTTTTTCTTGTGTTGGATCAATGGGCTTTTACTTAAGAAGACCCTTCCTCCACCTAGCATTTATAAGGCTTCCAATATATCGGCTTGGAGGGCTCTTTTCTGAGGAGCATAATTTTTTTTCTAAGAGTACTGAAAGGTTGATGAAATTTTTTTTCTGATAAAAACATTTTAATTTTCAACAAACTGTGGGGTGGGGTATTGCAAAAAACCCCCAAGTTTTATTTTTTTAGTCGCCGTTTGTCGAACAATACTTTAAGCTCATTTATTTTTGTTGGTTGCGTTGTTTCTCGACTTTTCGTTTTTGAAATATAGTTGTTTCATGATTTTTGACAAATTACTCCTTGTCAAAGAAACCATAGCTCAATTTACTCATAAAATTCCGGAAACTGCCTTCGATAAATTATATGACACTACTCTTATTGATTTTTACTTCAATTTTTAAATATCATCTATTTACGTCTTATCAACATTGGGACAAGCAAGCGTATTGCAAAAGGGTACAAGAATTTTTTCCGTAGAGAGTTTTTCCACAGTATGTCTAAAATTGGTGATGACTGTCTATATTTTTTTCAATGAATTGAATGTTTTTGAGCATGTATGATTTTAAAATGCCCGTTAGATTAGAATTTAGATTATTTATGGTGGTTTGAAATATACTAACTCCGATTTCAGTCTTTTTTGTTTTAATTGCGCTTTCTCTTTATTTGGTTAAGGTTTCCAATATATCCGCTTAGAAGCCTCTGTTTGAGGAGCATACTTTTTTCTAAAAATATTGAGAGGGTGATTAAAAATTGTTTTGAGAGGATGATCTAAGAGTGACTGTGTGTCTACTCTAGAACTGTCACCTTTTGCCGTTTTGTAAGTTTTGCTAAGAGTTGAAGTTAATTTTTTTAATTCGGGAAGTTTTTTCTGTGGGTTTCATCTCTGTTTGTCATGCTGTGTATGTGTTTTGTCGCAGGTAGTGCGAAGTTTCGCTGTGCCCCTCTTCGTAAAATTCTTAAGGTGCAGATAATTCAGTTTTCTTCGTTTTTTTTTGCTAGTTTTTAAATTAAAAATAAAAAAACTATTTTTTGAAATTTTGTGTTATGTTTGTTTGGTTAACCTTGCGATAAGCAAGCTTGTTGCAATCGGGTAGTAGACATTTTTCCTGCAATTAACTTTGTACACAGGACTCATCTCTAGTGGTTTTTAGGATTTTAAAAATCCGGCCGAATCGAAATTTGTTTTTTAAATTGGTCGATTTGCTAACGTTTTTTTCTTCATTTTTTGTCTTTTTTATCAGCATATAAATTTCCGGTTTAAATAATATCGGCTTAGTGGCCTTTTTTGCGTCTTTACGTCTGAGAAAAAGTTTTTGTGCGCGAGTTTGTGCTTTGACGGGAAAAGGGACTTGACTTTTTTATAAGCTAAGAATTTGTCTGATTTTTTTCGGCTTTGTTACCACTTGGTAAATATACATTCAAATTCAATCAACCATGTGGCGTAGAGGTAAAAGAACTGTTTGAGATGGCCAAGATTTGCGGTTCGAATCCTGCTGGGCCTTTTTTTGAAACCAAGTGTTTGTGCTTCTTCGGATTATCATCCGTCTGTTTGTTATTGTCGGCTTAGATCCCGTAGCTCGATGGTTCAGCTTTTCTCCATTTTGCTGTAACCCCCAATCTGCTGTTTGAGACGACAAATCCCGGGAGTAAATAGAAAATTTTGGTTAATTTAAATTGTTGTGTGTCTGCTTATTTTTGTCTGCTTAGTTCCGCAGAAAGGACTTGTTTTGAAATCTTGGCTTCTTTATAGTATTCCGAAAGCTCTTTGTAGAGTTTCTAATGGTGCAGGTTTTTTTGTGTTCCGAATATTTTGGGCTTTTGTTGCATTTTTTTATTGACAAAAACGATTTTTTGAATTTTTCCCGTTTGATTTTCATAACATTCATATTATGCTCAGCTTCGCCTCTGTGGATTAAATCTCTGCTCTTCAGGTTGATATGCGTCTGAAAATTGAACGATAGCCATGTCTAGGCCTATAAGGAACGATCTGAGATCAGGCGACATTGAGCTCAATGCTCTTCCTGTAAGTTTTAAGAAATGGTGGGTCTTTCTCATGAAAGCTCTCCTCAGCTTATAAACAAAAAATTTACAGCCCTCCACATTGTAATTTAACTATTTTGTAGGGTGTGGGATTGTTAAAGAGTATGGAAAAGACCAAATATGGTTTCATCCATCGCTTAAAGGAAGCTGATTTTTAGTTTCATAATGTCATAAATGGAGGTAGTTAAATCACGTATTTCGTACTTTAAAAATTAAATGTTCATAGGGACCGGATGGAGTGTTTGAGCTCATTGAGATTGTTGGAACCGGTACATACGGAAATGTCTGGAAGGTCAGTGTTCCGTATTCCCAATTGAAGTAGTTCATAATCAATACTCGATTTCATTCAAAATCCTTTGCAGGGACGCCACATCAAAACTGGTTCTTTGGCGGCTATCAAAATTATGACAATAGTTGAGGTTAGCGTATCTTCCATCTGATCACCAACAGTTACTTGCCCAAGTTGATAAATAATAATAATTATTAATAGTTAATAATTCATTTTATAGGAAGAAGAAGAGGAAATAAAGCTAGAAGTAAATGTCTTAAAAACTGTGAGTATATTTAGAATATTAATTTACAATTATGCTTCATGAATAAGATTTTAATGTGAAAAAATTCATAGCATTCAAACCAGCGCAACATAGCTCGATTCTTTGGTGCGTTTGTTAACAAATCAGTTGAACCAAAATCGCTATGGCTTGTGATGGAGTATTGTGGTGCTGGATCAGTAACAGACCTAGTTAAAGCCTGGAGAGGCAAACAGTTCCGAGAAGAATGGATATCCTACATCTGCAGAGAGATTCTAAGAGGCTTGAATCACCTGCATAAGAATTTAGTGATACATCGGGACATTAAAGGACAAAACGTCCTTTTGACAGACGACGGCGACGTTAAATTAGGTTATTAATGCTTTGTGATGTTTAATTTCGCTCACTGCTTCAACTTACGGAATCATACAAAATATGCGTTACAGTTGATTTTGGCGTCAGTGCGCAGTTGAATAAAACACTGGCCAAGCGGAACACTTTCATCGGAACCCCCTATTGGATGTCACCGGAAGTGATTGCGTGCGATGAAAATAGCGAGCAAACTTATGATTACAGGGTTAGCTTATTTCCGTTACAAATTTGTGGAATCAAAAACACTTCCGCTGAGTTTCTATAACACTTCGCTTCGTTTAGAGTGACATATGGTCTCTGGGAATCACAGCGATTGAAATGGCTGAAGGGCAGCCGCCACTCTGTGAACTGCATCCGATGCGAGCCCTCTTCCTCATACCTAGATCACAACCTCCCAGATTAAAATCTAGAAGATGGTATGTAATCATCCTAGAGAACTGGTAGCATATGCTTTGCAGTGTTAGTGAATCGGAACGCAGTGATGACAATATTTTAGATCTTGTAGATACTAAATGATGCCAAGTTTTTGCTCTGTTAGACTGCTTTATTAAGTTCCGACTATTTTTTTCCTTTGTCAGCTCGAATAGCGGTAGCGGTGATGTTCAGTGTTTTGATTGAAATTATTGATTTTAGGAGTCGCAAGTTTCTGGACTTCACGGAGAAGTGTTTAATTAAGAACTATAAAGAGCGGCCTAACGCGGAGCAGATGCTGACCCACTCCTTCTCCAACTCGACTATTCCTGACAAGATAGTGAAGGTACAGTTGCGGGAGGTAATCGACAGGGCCAGGAGACGCAAGGACGACCAGAGAGCAGCTGTCGCCTCCAACCGGTATAGAGAAAACACATGTGTTGAGATGCACAAAATTTTGAGATAATGACTTATGCTTAGCTGCTTTTTAAGATGATATTGGTATTTTTGGATTACGCAATTCTGAAAAAATGCGAAATGAAAGTGGGTTTCGAAAATTACGGCGTTCAAAAATATATACTTTTTTGGTTAAGTCATCGATGCATACGATTGGAAATAGGAGGAATTTAGTGCAGTAGAAAGGGGTTCGTCAGATCGTGTATTTGATTCCATGCAATACCGATTTTGGCTTCATTAGTGGTACCAGGAGAAAGTATTTTACGCAAAAATAGCCTGGAGTTGCAATAAATGCTTCAATCAATAAAAAAAACCGTCTGGAATTTGCGGAAATAATTTAAATGGAAAATCCTTAGACAGACTGCACAGCCTTCGACGAATATATTTTTTTCTAAGTTTAAGTTTAGGGATGAATCCAAAATAAGAAAAAGTAGTGGTTACACTCTTGTACTTAACGGGTGTCAAATACACAGGTCTGCTGCGGCGCCACCTACAAATGGGAGTAGTCAAGGACAAGGAGGACAGCAGGCATCATCTCAGCAGCCTCAGTCGCCCTCTCAACCGACCAGCAATGGAGGCACTGAGTCATCCCAGATGCAACAACAGCCAAGATTCATTGAGGCAGCAGCGGCTGAGAGCGACCATTCAGATAGTGACGAGGACGACGAAGGAGGCAGACACGAACCAGAGATCGAACAACCGAGGTGAGTGAACCACTCTTTCAAATTTATTTTAGCAATGCCTTTAAGTTAGTGCTCACCAATTGTACAGTAACCAATTTTTCTCTTGGAAGCAGCAAAAACTGCAATTTTGGCGTAATTAGAAAAATCTTGATTTTTTTTTGGTCAAAATGGATTTAAAATAGTATCAGAGCAGCCCTCTGCTTCCCCTTTGAGTCCGAATAAAAGTTGCCCAGAATGAAAAGAAAATGATGAAATCGTAGATAGTTTCCAAGGTGCGCAATTTGCCAGATTGCGTGTGTTTCCAGTGTACTCCAAGGGCCAGGGGAGAGAACCCTTAGACAGCAGTTTGCCCAGCTGCAAGAAAAGAAGCGCCTGGAATCAATGCAGCAGGCATCGTCTCAACCTGCTCTGGCTCCCAGGAATGCCAGCAGCAATAATAACAACAACAATGCCAGACCGATATCGGTCATTGACCGGTCGCAGTTGAGCCAAACCAGTGGAGTTAGCCAGTCCTCGACTGAGAGTGGAAGACCGGGCAGTAGTGGAATGAGGTCTTCATCTTCCTTACATGACTCAGCGAATCACAGTTCGAATAATGTATCCAAGCTACTGCAGAGTGGCAGGCAACACAGCTTTGGAGCGGCGCCATTAGCCACTACCACAGGTAAAGCAGCTTTAAATCTGCATTGATTGGAATGGAAAAGAATTTAGTTCCAAAATGTGTTTAAATGAAAATGATCAAATTCATCAAAAGTACTGCAGACCCGATTTTTAGAAGAAAGACATTTGGCATGCATTCCCTAATGAGAATCTACCCTTGGTGTGTTTGCTTAACTTTGATGAAAATCTGCTGTAAGTTTAAGTTCTTTCCTAGCATGAACTGTATATTCTTGGGAGATATGTTTCGAGAATAGAAGACGATGCAAAATGATTTGAGTTAAGCATGGTTGTTTTCTGATTCAAATGAAAGCTCTTTCATTGCACGTGGTTCCCTTAATGTGAAAGAGTTTGTGATTGAGTTGAACAAAAAAATCACGGAAAACCTTCCTAAAATTTTAAGGCTGATAGCTGTTGTTTGACATACACGGCTCTCATGATTTGGCTCAAAAGATGCAATACTGGGTATATCGATTTTGTTCAGTTCGATCTATCGATAAGTTTTTGCTGATTGGTTAGTTATTACTCTTTAAGCTGCGAGCTGCTGCAAATATTTGATCTGAACCAGTAGTTTTGCATTGATAGTTTGATCTTCAATCGTTACCTTGTTTCCCGCTGCTTTAAAGAAGGAAACACAGGATTTAATGTTGGTCCGGTTGCTATTGGACCTCTGAGGAGCCAAAAGTATCCTCCCTCTAGTGCTAAAACGAGACAAAAGTCTCCCCCTCCGCTACCCAGCAGTTCCCAACAACCAAATTTAAATGATTACTCGCCTTGGATGCGTGCTACTCCAGAACTTCCTGTTAGTTCCAATAATGCCAAGACAACCTCTGAAGACCGGAAGGGTTCCAGAGCTGACCATCGTGTTTGGGCGAGATCGCCACCCCTCCCAATAGCTTCAGAGGAGCAGCGCAACCCGCCTCAGTTGGACCACCAAGTTAACCAGTCAGAATACCAGAATTCAGAGGTGTTTTCACCCAGACTTGACCGTGGTCGTGATAGTCATCATAAACATAGCCAGAACATACAGCAACAACATAATGTGAACTGTTCGAAACGCCATAACAGTAGCTCAGGACGTATTGGATCCGCAAGTAGCGAGGAGATCAATAACCCAGACATGGGACCTCCGGCTCCTCCGAGAATCACATCATTGCATTCTCCGAATGCTCACTTCAATATTCCACCGTTGGCCAGTGTCGCAATGAGGCGAAGCATGTCACCGCAACTAGAAAACTCGTGTTTAGGAAACATTGATTCGGCGCTGTTACACAGCGCTTATAACCAATACAATCCTAATTACCAGGTAGCTAGTTCACGCGAAGACGGAAGTCTTGAAGATGTTTTTGTTACAGACTCTCCAACAGGACATTATGAGAATCCGGCGGATTTCTCACCAAGCATGGGTCGTTCCACCGACGCAGCTAATAGAGACAGAAACTCTTCGAAGCAGGAATCACAAAACCAACACCCGATGTCGCACTTTGTCAAACAAAGAATAGAAGTCCCTAGCGACCAGCTTACACCAACGCCTGTACATAAATCATCCCTTTTAGGAAACGCTAAGCAGAGGAGCAGTTTTGCTGGAGATGTTTCAGGATCAAAGCCGCACAAGTTTGAAAGCTCTATTGAGGCTATTAAAGGATCGAGCTCTAATTCTTCATTCGTAGTTGCTAGTCATGATGCGACTAAGAGCTCATCTGGAGCTCAGATCCGGAGACTAGACAGTCAGCAGCCTCCTCTGGGATTCAATAATGGAGCCGTGCAGATGAGGAATCCACCTCCGAAGCCAGGGCTAAACCAATCCCAAAGCAAACCAGACGTATCCTCGAGGAAGAGTTACGCCGGTGTAAATCAATCGGGATCCAGAGATCGAGATAGTTTGGACGAAGGACATGCACCTTATGCTGTGACTCCGCTTGGAAGACAGGGATCCTCTATCGAGGTAATGTTTCTTGAGCATTTCGCTATGGATATTGAAAATATATCATTGATTTGATTGAAATGAGATGGTAAAGTTTGAAAACGTATATTTGTGCAGTGTAGTAATTTTGAGATGTTGACAGGATTCTGGAGCTGGATCTCACACAGCTTCTCCCGTGTCCATAGCTGCTCATAGGAAATCGTCATCCCAGTTTACAAACAGCAGTGCAGCATCTCCGAACCTCAGCCGAAGAAGTTCCAACCAGCCACATCACTCCCAGCTCCATCCCAATCATCAGGCGAGTTCCTCGGCGGGATTGAGAAGAAGAGAAGACGAGGAGGATGAGGACGAGGAGGCTGAGTTGTCTGACGTGGAACCCGAGCGCATAGCGTCAGATGGAACCATCATCGATTCGGAAAAACCCAGACCCCTGTGAGTAGAAAATATTGAGCTATATTAATGTGCAGGACCTTGTAATTTTAAGTGCTTAAATAAAGCTTCAGATAAGACATGTAACATCTTGTCAATCCAATAAACAAAGAAGCTTGCGTGAACTATTGCCGAAATTCTTTTCAAGAGTAATGAACGTTGTTGAAAGGAAAGCAAAATCCACTATCGAACAGTAAAAAAAAAGTGAAGTTCTCGAAAAACGGAATGGAATATCGAAAATGGAACTTTGAAAATGGAATTTAATTATCAGATTTCCCAGCGGAATAAAAATTTTACCTATTGATTCAGTTTTCTCAAATTGGATTAATTTTATCAAAAAACACCAATCATAAGTTGCTTCTGAAATTCAAAGAGCTTTAATAGCATATATATTTCATTTAAAATTCGAAAGTTTTTTTTCTGTTTCTTTGCGTTGATTACTCTTTCCAACTGTCAGTTGGCTATGCTTTAAATTAATTTGCAAAGATAACGTTGGTTGGAGCGTTATGTGCTCACCTGCTCAGTAACCGGCTGCTGGTTTTGATTCTAAAATTAAAGTACTACATTGTTTTTGTTTCGCAGTCCGCAAAACTTTGACAGGAAGTCGAACAGAGGCGGTACCTCAGAATCCCCCTCGCCCAAAAAGAAAGTGACTCCCCCAGTGAGGAATACTTCAAACAGCCAATTGGCTCCTCCATTCACTTCTCCTCAAAATGGTCCCCCGCCTCCCTCGAAGGCCCCCAACCCTCTGTCAAAGATGTCAAGAAGCAGAAGTCACGAAAGGTTCACAAACAAGGAACGAGCGTCACTGCATCACTTGTCACACGCGAAGGAGTCAGCCGCGGAAAGCTTCAGAGAACACCATTCGATCAGTCATCGCGAATATGACAACATTGCCAGCTTGCTAGGACAGCCATCCGCACAGTCGGAGGAAGAGGGCGGGACTTCTGTTGCAGCAGGTGTTCCACAACCTTCATCAGCGCAAAGTCAGAGTCGAGGCAATACTTCTAGGCGGGTAAGATGTCTTCTTTGGTTCGGTTTCTAGGGTTTTATTTTTTCATGGAATAATTTATGGGTCAATGAAGGCGATATAGTATTCCTCGTGGAGTAGCATAGATGGCTTTATTGGGTCAACATTAAGACCATTTTTCATCAGTTTCGTTTGCATCGCAATATCAGGTTCAGCCCAGAAACGTGAAATACGAAAAAAGACATCGGAGACGGAGCATCACATTTATTTGGCAATGTTTTTGACAAAGTATCTATCAAACCATATTTAACTCAATGTATCAAATAAAGAGAATGGCCGTATTTAGTTGAAGTTTTCTTTTCAGCGGTCCATGGAGAGTATCCGTAATACATCTGGCCCCACTGCAACTGCCGGAGTGCCTACTGGGCCCACTCCCCATCCCCGGACACACCACTCTTCGGGTGGTCATCCCAGTGGTCAAACTCCCGCCCCTTCTACACCCCAGATGGGCTTCAACCCTCAAAGGACAAATGCCAACAGCAGTGCGATGTCGTCATCAAGTAATAATGCAGGACCCTTCCCAGATGTAGTCCCAACTCATCGACTCACGTTCGATGTAAGTGCAATGAAATTAACTAAAAGGAAGCTTATAACTGCAAATGTACCCAAGAGACAATTCAACCAAGAAGCTCTTTTAATTGTGAAATTTTCAAATAAAGCGCTGTTTTCAACAAGCGTCATCGAATTGCATTATGAACATTTTTGTATGTGAACAATTTTCGGAATCACTAAATCAGTGTCTTAAATCTTCGTATTTCCATCAATTAGTGTATTATTACGAACCTTCTTTTTTTCTAATCTAACTTGCAAATAAAACTCCATTAAAAGTGTTCACTTATTTGGAAATTTGACTGTAGCATTTGAAATTGCATAGCATCTGTTCTCTGGGTTGTTTTGGCTAGTGTTTGGTTCCTCTTAAGCTTCCCTTTGTGAGTGATTAGTGTGCGAGACTCTTAATTTCTAGGTGGCTGGGTCGAATCTCCGAAGTAGCCAAGTTTTTTTGCTAATTCCAGGCTTATTTCTATTTTTTCTAATTGCTCTTTATAGAGCTGTTTTTTGTCGTGTTCTCGCTAGTGTTTGCGAAGCGAAGTATCGCCCTTGTGTCGAAATATGTCTTTTATGTTGGTTGTAATTTTACTTGTAATTTTTCTAATCGGAGTAAATTTGCAAGTAGTACCAAGGATAGCCTAGTGCTGTACAATTAGCACAGAATGCTCCGACCATATTATAAAAACCACAAATAAAAGTGCTTCAAATTAATCAGTTTAAATCAGCGTCATTTTTGTGTGATGGGATAAGAAAACTATATATTTTTTTCAGCTGAAATGACAAATTTAACAAGTTATCGTCACTTTCTTCGTTCGCTTTATTGGGACGAAATTAGACAAAAAAAATCTTCAAACCGGTTTTCTCGACACTCGGAAAATTTTTAGGAAGTTTTCAAAAGTCCTGTATGAAAGTCCTGTTTTCGAATCCTGTATGAAAGGGCCTTTATATGATATATCACTCAACACGGGTCGATGCATTTTGGTGGTACCTGATTTTGCGTGGAAAACAAGAAAAAAAAAACTGAAACACACCCGAATACAAAGTTCCTCTCCAATTTCAAAGGTCGGAACAAGAAACAGGAGAAGTAGTGTACATAAAAAACTTCGAATTTTCGAATTCAAGTATTTCAAATGTGTTTCATCTTCATTTGTTTTCGGCTTAGTTACATCGGATTAAGTGCCTCATATTGACTCATCTCAGAGTAGATGCATGTTTTTAGCTTTAATGCGCGTTTGCCCAAATTTATGTCAGCTTGAGTTACCGCTGCTTACATTCCAATATATGTTCTGTCGACTAGCTTGCAATTATATCGGCTAATTTAAGGTTTGGATACGAAATAGGTACGAAGTTCCGACTCGCCTCTGTGTAACGTGCTTTACCAAGTGAATTTCCCTTCATTAGGTCTTGCGGATTGTTAGTTTATTTTCAGGGAAATGTCACGGATATTTTAAAACGTTTCACCTTTTTTAGTGGTTTCTATTTTCGTTATTTGAGTTCTTTCTAAGTTCTGTTGCTAAATTGAAGGCAACATAAGTCAGCATAAAAAGTGCAAAAGAAATTACATTTAATAAATGGATCAGTGGATTTTTAAGTGTCAACAAGACTGCTCGTATCAGGGCGAAGCCCTGAATGTTCCGACTGCCTTTTATGGTTTTATGGAGCAGTAATAACATCAAAAAATTAAATGTAATAAAATGAAATGAAAAATTTTTAAACTTTTATGAAAATCATCCCCCCACACGCCATATAAAGTACATAAAGATAGATTTAGCTCCTTTTAACAACTCAATTATGCCAAATAAGCTTCTTTCAACCAATTTGGAACGATTTTAAGACGGATTAAGTCTCCGCTTACGCGTTAATAGCGCGAATTATATCACGCGTTAATTGTCCCAAATTGGTCAAAATGGCCAAAATGGCAATCTTTAAACCCCCATAACTTTACGAAAAAAGATCACAGGTGAAATATCTTTTCAAATTTGAGCTCAGGACAACAATAGCTTTCGAATGATATAAAAAAATTCCGTCAAAAATTGCTAGTTAAAAAGTCGAAATTTGTCTGAAGAAAAAAAAACCCACCCCGAGCACAAATATTCCGTTACTTTCGTATCGAAAGTCGGAACAATAAGTAGCAAATATTGTTGCGACGCAAATATTGTTGCGACGCAAATATTGTTGCGACGCAAATATTGTTGCGATAAAATGTGTTCATTTTAAAAGTGATCATTTTGATCAGTAACCAGCTATTAAGTACAGACAATGCTAAGGATATTAACACATACTATTATTGTTCCGAGATTCGTAACGAAAGTAGCGGAATATTTGGGCTCGGGGTGGTTTTTTCTTCAGAGAAATTTCGACTTTTTCTCACTAGCCATTTTTGACGGGATTGTTTGTAACATTCAAAAAGTGTTGTTGTCTTAAGCTTAAATTTGGAAAGATATTTTACCTGTGATCATTTTTCCTAAAGTTATGGGGGTTTAAAATTGACAATTTGGGACAATTAATGCGCTCTATATTTCGCGCTATTAACGCGTAAGCGGAGATTTAATCCGTCATAGAAATCGTTGCAAATTAGTTGAAAGTAGCTTATTTGCCCTAATTGATCTGTTTAGGAGCGAAATTTATCACTTTGTACTTAGTATGGCGTGTGGGGGGATGATATCACAAAAAATCTCAAGTTAAAAAAAATTCGTTTCTATTTTATTACATTAGATTTTGTCACGTTATTAGTGTTTCATAGACTGCTGTATAAATTGAGGCATGTTAGATGGTAATTGTCTTTTTTACTAACATGACTGGTACTGCTAATGCGTCATAATTGGCGTGCGTCACATAAGAAATTTTGTAGACTCAAAGTTTTACATATTCGATTTTTCCCAGTAGCGTTGTCGGCCATATTTTTGATGCGAGGTGCAAATTTACCTCTGTGTAAAAAATTTTCAAATTCATTTGCGAAAAAAGAAGCAAAGTTACGCTCTTAAGTTAAAAAGCTGAATTGGTGCAAAAAGTGAACGAGTTTTAGTTTCGATATTGGATTTAAACTTTTTGATTTTCCGGCGGAATAAAAAAAATTATCCTTTGATCCAGTTTTTTTTAAGTTCGGTTTATCTTTTTGATAAATATGTCAATTCCTGTTTGATAAAAACGGGTATTAGAAAAACGAGTATTAGGAAAACGGGTATAAGGAACGTTTTTATGTGTTTGATAAAAACGGGTATTAGGACAAAATTGGGTTTGATAAAAACGAGTATTGGGGTACTAGACCGATTTTCAAAAAAGTGGTATCAATGGAAAATCCGACCACTACCCTGAGTAGTTGCATAATTCCCAAGTCTCTTTTTACCTTACAGCCATTTCTACAGCCTTCGAAAAAGTGTGTCGGGGAGTTTTGACCCATATTTGACTTTTTTTTTTCGAAAACTACCCTCTCAAATTTGAGATTTTTGGTTCAATGGATAGAACAGGTTGTGAGAAGCCCACCTGCTTAAGCGGCTACACCCAATTTTTTGGTATGACCCTCGGATGACCCTTTTTTGGTCACACAAAAAGGTATGACCCTCGGAAAAGTCAAATTTTCGATATTTTGACCGTGTTTTCAACTTTTTGACTTTTCGCGACAAGTACCCTCCCAAATCTGAGATTTTGAGTTCCATTGATAGAGCGGTATGTTGATGTTTCTCTGCTTGAGCGGCTCCGCTCAATTTTATTACTACTAAAAATTGCACTTTCGGAAAACCAATGATTTCTTCGCCGTTTTCTGCCATTTTTTGACCTGTCTCGAAAAATACCATCCCAAATCTTTGATTTTCGTTTCAATCAAAAAAAGTGTTGAGTGAAGCTCCCTTGTGTAAGCGCTCATGTTCAAGTTTTATTAGCAAAAACTTATGGCCTGCAGAAAAATGAAAGTTTTGATTTCTTGTCCGTTTTTTGAATCTTTTTGACTCATCTCGAAAACAACGCAATCTGATATCAAGGGTTTATCCGAGGTAGCAGTTTGTGGGAAACCTCAGTGTCTAAGATGGTACGCTCTAAAAATCATTCAAAAAATTTCATGTCTCTGAAAATTCCAAAAGCACAAAAATTTCCTTCGTGTTTTAATAGAACTAGGTTTTGGGTGAAGCCCAATTTTAAAATTTTTGAAATTACCTATTTCATCCCGCATCAGTACAAAAATCAAAACTATCAAACAGGTACCTCCAGCTTTACCTGGGCCTCTAGTTATAAACTTTTCTTGAAATTTAGAGAGCTTCAAAGTCATGCATTTCTGGGAAATTCGAAAGTTAGTTGGTAATTGTCTTTTTTTTAAATCAAATTGACTGGTACCGCCAATGAGTCATAATTGGTGTGCGTCTTTTACAAATTTATGCAGCATCAAAGTTTTACTCATATATTCGGTTAATCTGTTGAATTTCAACTTCATTATTTCGGAGAGTTCCAGTTACCAAAAATGAGTTGTTCTTTTTCCACTTTATAAAGCTGCTTTTTGTCGTTTTCGCGCTAGTGTTTGCGAAGTGCAGGTTCGCCTCTTTGGTCATGAAAGCACTCGAAAACTGAGTTATTAGTAGTGTTATCGTTCATATTTTTGCTTGTGTATGCGAAGTGCAACTTCGCATCTGTGTAATTATGGTTCTTCATTTTTGTATCTCTAATGCTCCTAAGCTCAGCTTCAACTCTTATGTCAAATGGAAAACATTTCAAATTTTCTAGAGAATTTATATCTATAACTTCTGTAACGCTCAAATTTGATTCTTTGCTGTTCATTTGTCAATCTTAATTGTTGAACTGAAAGCAAAATACACTACTAATTATGAAAGAGCTAATGGCCTAAAAATTTGGTGAATGGTGATTGATTATTATTTTCGGAAGTGGATTTTAGTTTTTAAATTCAACAGCAAAATTTTTCCTATTGTCAATTTTTATATTAAAAAAATTTCAATCATGAAAGATCTTCAAAGCTTGAAGAGCTTTGAAGTGATTATTTTTTCTTCAAGTTTTGAAAGTTAAAATATTTTTGTAAAAAAAATTGTTTTGTTTCCTTGTGTTCATTGTCTTTTTTCCCATTTTCTGTTGGCTACGTTTTTTTTGCAGTAACAGGTTTATTTGGAGAACTAACGGCTGATTATGAAACCAAGGTGGTGGAAAGGGACCGTACACTTTTTCACTCAAAATAGAATCGATAATGAAACGTCTGATTGGATTTTGTTATCGTGATCATTTGTTATCGTGTAGCTTGATCCAAGCTTCAACGTAAAAATTTCAATTAAATAATTGTTCAAGGTTTTTTGATTGCTGCCAGAAAAATAAACAAAAACAGTTATGCGATATCTGTAAATTCTGTTACACTCAATTTTGAGTTTTCGCAGTTTTTTTTTTCAGTTAAATTCAAGTTCGTTCGCCAAATGGAAAGCAAATTAAACTTATCAAAAGAGCTGAAAGCCCAAAAATTATGAATGAATGTTAGCTTCGAAAGTGGGGGCTATTCTAATGCGCGAAGGACCGAATGAGCGAAAAAACTTGTAGGCCAAGGACCGAAGACAAAATTAGCCGAAAATCAATTTTTAAAAAGAAGCAGTTGCCATTCAATTAAAATGAATTAAATGAAGACATATTTTGCTTTTTTCATTACGAAACCCTTGAAACGTAAAATTTGTCCCAATTTTGCGGCGGTTAATGACAATTGAAAATTTTGCATATTTCAACCATTTTTATGTTCGCTCTATATGGAATTGTTCGCAGTCCCTGGAAATGTTTACTCTTTCCAAAATTTAGATTACTGAAATTTGATTGGCTGATTTATACCTCTGTGTAAAAAATTTTCAAATTCATTTGCGAAAAAAGAAGCAAAGTTACGCTCTTAAGTTAAAAAGCTGAATTGGTGCAAAAAGTGAACGAGTTTTAGTTTCGATATTGGATTTAAACTTTTTGATTTTCCGGCGGAATAAAAAAAATTATCCTTTGATCCAGTTTTTTTTAAGTTCGGTTTATCTTTTTGATAAATATGTCAATTCCTGTTTGATAAAAACGGGTATTAGAAAAACGAGTATTAGGAAAACGGGTATAAGGAACGTTTTTATGTGTTTGATAAAAACGAGTATTAGGACAAAATTGGGTTTGATAAAAACGAGTATTGGGGTACTAGACCGATTTTCAAAAAAGTGGTATCAATGGAAAATCCGACCACTACCCTGAGTAGTTGCATAATTCCCAAGTCTCTTTTTACCTTACAGCCATTTCTACAGCCTTCGAAAAAGTGTGTCGGGGAGTTTTGACCCATATTTGACTTTTTTTTTTCGAAAACTGCCCTCTCAAATTTGAGATTTTTGGTTCAATGGATAGAACATGTTGTGAGAAGCCCACCTGCTTAAGCGGCTACACCCAATTTTTTGGTATGACCCTCGGATGACCCTTTTTTGGTCACACAAAAAGGTATGACCCTCGGAAAAGTCAAATTTTCGATATTTTGACCGTGTTTTCAACTTTTTGACTTTTCGCGACAAGTACCCTCCCAAATCTGAGATTTTGAGTTCCATTGATAGAGCGGTATGTTGATGTTTCTCTGCTTGAGCGGCTCCGCTCAATTTTATTACTACTAAAAATTGCACTTTCGGAAAACCAATGATTTCTTCGCCGTTTTCTGCCATTTTTTGACCTGTCTCGAAAAATACCATCCCAAATCTTTGATTTTCGTTTCAATCAAAAAAAGTGTTGAGTGAAGCTCCCTTGTGTAAGCGCTCATGTTCAAGTTTTATTAGCAAAAACTTATGGCCTGCAGAAAAATGAAAGTTTTGATTTCTTGTCCGTTTTTTGAATCTTTTTGACTCATCTCGAAAACAACGCAATCTGATATCAAGGGTTTATCCGAGGTAGCAGTTTGTGGGAAACCTCAGTGTCTAAGATGGTACGCTCTAAAAATCATTCAAAAAATTTCATGTCTCTGAAAATTCCAAAAGCACAAAAATTTCCTTCGTGTTTTAATAGAACTAGGTTTTGGGTGAAGCCCAATTTTAAAATTTTTGAAATTACCTATTTCATCCCGCATCAGTACAAAAATCAAAACTATCAAACAGGTACCTCCAGCTTTACCTGGGCCTCTAGTTATAAACTTTTCTTGAAATTTAGAGAGCTTCAAAGTCATGCATTTCTGGGAAATTCGAAAGTTAGTTGGTAATTGTCTTTTTTTTTAAATCAAATTGACTGGTACCGCCAATGAGTCATAATTGGTGTGCGTCTTTTACAAATTTATGCAGCATCAAAGTTTTACTCATATATTCGGTTAATCTGTTGAATTTCAACTTCATTATTTCGGAGAGTTCCAGTTACCAAAAATGAGTTGTTCTTTTTCCACTTTATAAAGCTGCTTTTTGTCGTTTTCGCGCTAGTGTTTGCGAAGTGCAGGTTCGCCTCTTTGGTCATGAAAGCACTCGAAAACTGAGTTATTAGTAGTGTTATCGTTCATATTTTTGCTTGTGTATGCGAAGTGCAACTTCGCATCTGTGTAATTATGGTTCTTCATTTTTGTATCTCTAATGCTCCTAAGCTCAGCTTCAACTCTTATGTCAAATGGAAAACATTTCAAATTTTCTAGAGAATTTATATCTATAACTTCTGTAACGCTCAAATTTGATTCTTTGCTGTTCATTTGTCAATCTTAATTGTTGAACTGAAAGCAAAATACACTACTAATTATGAAAGAGCTAATGGCCTAAAAATTTGGTGAATGGTGATTGATTATTATTTTCGGAAGTGGATTTTAGTTTTTAAATTCAACAGCAAAATTTTTCCTATTGTCAATTTTTATATTAAAAAAATTTCAATCATGAAAGATCTTCAAAGCTTGAAGAGCTTTGAAGTGATGTATTTTTTCTTCAAGTTTTGAAAGTTAAAATATTTTTGTAAAAAAAATTGTTTTGTTTCCTTGTGTTCATTGTCTTTTTTCCCATTTTCTGTTGGCTACGTTTTTTTTGCAGTAACAGGTTTATTTGGAGAACTAACGGCTGATTATGAAACCAAGGTGGTGGAAAGGGACCGTACACTTTTTCACTCAAAATAGAATCGATAATGAAACGTCTGATTGGATTTTGTTATCGTGATCATTTGTTATCGTGTAGCTTGATCCAAGCTTCAACGTAAAAATTTCAATTAAATAATTGTTCAAGGTTTTTTGATTGCTGCCAGAAAAATAAACAAAAACAGTTATGCGATATCTGTAAATTCTGTTACACTCAATTTTGAGTTTTCGCAGTTTTTTTTTTCAGTTAAATTCAAGTTCGTTCGCCAAATGGAAAGCAAATTAAACTTATCAAAAGAGCTGAAAGCCCAAAAATTATGAATGAATGTTAGCTTCGAAAGTGGGGGCTATTCTAATGCGCGAAGGACCGAATGAGCGAAAAAACTTGTAGGCCAAGGACCGAAGACAAAATTAGCCGAAAATCAATTTTTAAAAAGAAGCAGTTGCCATTCAATTAAAATGAATTAAATGAAGACATATTTTGCTTTTTTCATTACGAAACCCTTGAAACGTAAAATTTGTCCCAATTTTGCGGCGGTTAATGACAATTGAAAATTTTGCATATTTCAACCATTTTTATGTTCGCTCTATATGGAATTGTTCGCAGTCCCTGGAAATGTTTACTCTTTCCAAAATTTAGATTACTGAAATTTGATTGGCTGATTTATATTTTCCCGCATTCGGACCTTCGCGCAAGAGGGATTCCACCTCGAAAGTGAATAATAATTAATTGGTAATGAAACAATCTTCAAATAATAGGATAATGTGTCAATTGTAAAAGATTTTTTTTTTTTGGAAATTCAGAGCTGTAATATTTCGAAAGTTGAAAATTTTTTTGTTTTTATTAAAAAATCATTTATATGTTTTTGTTTTCCTTGTATTAACATTTTTCTAACTTCCTGTTGGCTACTATCTTTTCATTGAACCTGGAACCATGCCCTCTTTCCTTATGGTTAAGCTAATAAGAATTTAATTTGATTGTTTTTTTTTATGATATTTTTTTGCAAAATTTTTTCATCGAATTACGCAACCGCTTTTCCTGGTATTAAGAGAAGTTTTTCTATAAATTTAATTGCGCCCAATTATTCAAATTTTTTAACTAGATTTTTTGCAAATCAACTAACGAACGTTATTTTGAAGGAATGTTGTGTAATTTTTTTCATCTGTCGCTTTCTGAATCTATTTTTTGTTCAGTGGTGATCTCTTGGTTCTTCTTCTGAAAGTTTGTGAGTCGAAAAAGACCAATTATCCTGTCTACTTTTTCTGTGTCAATTTCCAGAACAGTTCTGGTTCCTCCTGTAATAGATTTAAAGTGTAAGCGCAAAACGTCTTAGTGAAAATTGGTATTTGTTTCTAATTGGTACTTGAACGTTTACGAACAGAAGGGATTTTGGTTTTCTTAGATTATAATGAATTTTTTTTGAGTATCATAAACTGCAAAAAAATCGAATTGACTATTTCAATTGAAATCGAAAAGAGCAATTAACTTATAACGGTAAATATTTGCATGGAAAACTTTTAGTGTTACACCAAGTTCAGAGAAACAGACTTAGCCAAAAAGAGCAATTTTTCCATTTTGAACAAGTTTTGCTTTTTCAATTCAGATGTCTCTCACAAATTGAGAGATGAATTCTGCCTGAAAAAAAGTAGTTTTTGCATGCAAAATTTCAGCGAGATGTGTCAATGCTGTTTTTATTTTCAAATTTTTTTGTTGTTTGAACTTTTTGCTAATTTTTATAAGTGTTTCTAATTATTATAGAAGTGTTTCAAAGGCTTTCGAAATATCACAAGTTTTCAGGAAAAATGGAATCGCTCTTTTGGCATACTGTCTACGAACTCTTTTTATACCTTTTCTCTTCTCTCCATTTTCTTTTTGTGATCTAATTATCCATTCGTGTCTCCAAGTAGGTTCACCCTCAATAAGTTCCTCCCACCCAATCAGTGTCGTTTGCACTTCATTGACCCCGTTTTTGCCGTTTTCTGGGGTGTGCTTTGAGAAGTAGCACCCATTGAGAGCTATGTACAAGTTTTCGAAGGGGCTGCCCGCCTCAACTAAAGTCTCATTGTCATTTGAAGTTATGTCGATCTCCTCGGAAGCAGATAGCAGTTTGTCTTTCTCGTCTCCGTCTGAAATTTATCCATCTATTAATTGCTCAAATCGTACCCAAGTTTTTCGATGGTTGAAACGTTCTCAATCTTTTTTTTAAATCTTTGCATTCCTTCCCGATAAAATTTTGAAAATATCAATGATGAAGAACTAGATAATCTAGAAGAAAAGTCTGGGACCCTCAGAAGGCGAAAAATGATTTTTACGAATTTAGTTTTCGATGAAATCAAATCAATTGAAGAAATATCCAATTGATAAAGAATCCGAGTTGGATGGTTTCCACTTTTGAATTTCATTTTTGGAATTATGAACAGATTTTTTTCATGCTTGTTCTTTATATGCATTCAACCTTATTAACCGTAAAACAACTTTGAAATCTTGGGGTAAATTTGAAATGTTGGAGTTGAAAAAAGTTTTTTTTTCGAGATTTTCAGATATGAGAACATACTGAGGTGTGTAAGCTGAGTTATACTGTTGAGAGCATGGACTGTTCCATTGTACTGGTTCTGTGTTCTGTCCCGGAAGAAGTTTTGAAACGTCTTCTGGTGCAACAGATAGCACACAGCCATCACCTCCTCCTCCTCTTCTTCATCTTTCTTTCCATTTATGGCAGAATCGATAGGTTGTCTTGCCCTTTGGACACAAACTGTGTGCTCTCGAATGTCACACAGCAGCAATGCACCCACCCCTGAAGTGAAGCATCACGTGATTTTACTTTTGAAAGCAATACATGATGTTCCTATTGAACTTGAACCTGAATTGCATGAAAAAAAATTCCTGAATAGTCTTCTGCAATTCTTATGACGTTTGCTCAGCTCAAGCCTGGCATGGAAAACAGCATGGAAAATAGCAACGCATTTAATATAATATTATCCATCTTATATACCATTCTGATAGACCCATTTTAAAGTGGGAGCATTCAGGTCAAGAGATAGAGTGTCTGATAATGACTCCGAGCGCAACCCCAGATCTTTTTCCAGTAGTTTGAATCCAGATAGACACACTGGTTTTCGTTGCCCTCCTTTTTTGACGGTTATGCTGCTTACCTAGCACAGCTGGCGCATGAACCACATTTTCATTGCTGTCTATGGCCTTGGAATCCAAACAGTCTCCGGTGCCCCCTCCGAATGACTGGGTCCTTTGAATGGGGATTCCATTGGGGTACTCGACAACTTGACCACTGGCCAACAGCACGCAATGGAACTCCTGCTCTCCTGAAATTGCCTAGACGCTAAAACTGAGTTCTGCAAAAAAATTGAAACATAATAATGCGCTTCAGGAATTGGTTGCCTTTTGTTTTAATGTTTGTTTCTGGAAGCTTGCTCGTGAAGACAAATCAAATCGTGCATCTACGAAAATAGTCCATACTAAAATTCTCTTTTTTGCATAGATTGTGTACCTTTTGAAAATCCCGATTTAATATTTTCACAGCAAACCAGTCTCATTTATTTTCACTGTTGGTATCGTTATATCACATATTTAGCCGGAAAATTACCGTAAAAACAAAAATATGCTTGAGGGAGAATAAAAAATAAAAATAAAAAATAACCTGAATTGTAGATGACATCTCCGGGCTTGTAAATACACTTGAAGCAACTAGTCTCGACCAATTCGACGAATGACTCAAACTCCAGTTTCATGAAGCGAAGTTTCTCCCACAGCAAATTTGCAAGTACCACTGCTGTTTTGTGGTCAATATTGTTTCCAATAATGCTGCCAACTGTTTCCGCCTCGTTCGAACATTTAACGACATCCTCTGGAACTTTCTTTTCAGCTTTGTTAGTTTTATTGCCACTGATAGATAATGAGCTCACTTGACTTAGACAATCTGTCGGTTTTGTGTTCTTTTCGGCTGAAGCTCCTTTCGGCGACTGTTCGACCATCAGCTGTTCACGGTGACGAGAACTATTTGTGGTGCTCATCTCGAACTTGGTGAATGATTTCGAGTACTGAAGCTTCCTCGGCTTCTGCTGTGGACTGGCGGATGCTAAAACATTTTGCTCACCTGTCCGCATTTTAACTGCAGATGTTCGCTCTATTTTGGATTTTATCGCGCCAATTTTTGAAATAGTTATTTTGTCCCGAACACCCGCGCACGAATAGTTATCGGGACCCAGGTAAAATTTAGGGGTAGTTGATGTTGACATTTTTAAATTTTTGAAATTATTTAGCGAATTTGTTGAACTTCCCAGAAGCGAAATGAAGTTTAATCTGAAATTTAATGTTTGTCCGATTCATGCGAATGAGAGAGTTATTATTTCTGGCTGTTGTGGGAGCTGAATTATTGCCAGTCAGCGAACGTTTGTTTCTTTACTAACTGACACGTTTGGGCAAAAACCCAACGGTTAATACTTGTTTGCTTCCTTGTTTCAAGTTTCAAATTCTTCAAAGCGACTTATGATTGGTTGTTTAAGAGTTCAGTGTTCTAGACATGCTTAGGGGTTTCATTTATTGGCCTTGAAACCAAATTGATCGTGAATCTGTATAATTTAATTTATCGCAAAACTTGTTCATAAGTTCGTATAGTTTAATCCGTAGCAATTGTATCTTTTCACTTCATATTACCCTTTTAGCCTGATTGAATTCCGAAACGAGAGGGGAATAAAAGCAGTTTGCAAATGTCACTTCTGTCGGTTGTGTTGATCACGGGGCTGGCGACATGGGAATGGCACGGTCCATTAATTAGGAGCGGGGACCCCACACCTTGTCTAGGAAACTTTTACTGAACTGAAGGCCAATTTAAGCTCAGTAGTTGCCAATTATTCCCTGTCATTCCCTTATACCAAGTCATTAACTGGGTAAGAGTTGCGGGGTTGTAAAATGTGTTTCACATACTTGAACTTTTACTTCGGGCACAGGAGTTTTGTTTTTAAATTATAAGGCAGGGCATTTATTCTACAATTTCTGTGGGCTAAAACAACAACAACAACAACCAAAGCTTAGTTTTGCCATTTGGTTAAGTGAGCAATGTTGTTTCTCGTGAGTGAGCAAATAGCCCACCAACGTGGCTGAGCACCCCTTTCCATCGATTTAGGAGGTAGATAAAGTTGATTTTTTAGAACCTTTGCTTGAGTTTAATATATATTAATTGTACGGACAAGTTTTATTATCCGCCGGTCACTATGCTCGTAGCTATCTCAGAATGTTCTGAACATATTTTTATCGCAAGTAATTAGATCAATATCAATTTTAGTAAGAACAAGTGAACATATTGAAGGCACTTATATAGGTCATGGTGATTTTTTAAGAAAAAGTTCTAGGAAGTTGTTCACGCTCAAATTTGCAAACTACACTCTACAATTATAAAAGTACAAATGGCACGAAGAAAATGCATGATTTATAGCTTCGAAAAAGAATTTTAATTAAAAGTTTTCCATGCAGAGTAAAAAAATTTGATCAAGTTTTCTCACATAGAGTTAATTTCGTGAAAAAAGCCAGTCATAAAAGTTACTTGAATTTCAGCGAACGTTGACGTGATATATTTTTTCATCCGAAAATTGAAAGTTGAAAAATCTACGAATAAAAAATTTATCTGTTTCGACTTTGAATTTTTTATTTTTCCAAGAGATCGAATATGCAGCCGTTAAGTCCAGTAATAGAAGACCAAATTAGCATCTTCCCCGTAAATAGTTTCATGGGGAGGATTGTAGATTGGTCAATTTAGGGGTAGAATGTTTGCTTGATCCATAAAATTATATTAAAGCCTCTGATTTTTTGGATATTAAATCTGAATTACGACTGAAAGGGTTTCAATACGATCTTACATATGACACATCAGGGTTTTCCTAGAGGTGCTTATTGGGTGGCGAAAAACACAACCTGCACCATATCGATAATTTGTTAGTTTAAGCCTACCAATTTCAGTAATTGTTTTTCGGCTGATGGCCTTTTCAAGTGCAGACGGGCATCAAAGAACCAGGTTTACAGGTTTTTATTTGAGGCGGGTTGTTGACAAATTGCTATGATGCGACCGTTTACAGGTACTTATTGATCGTTCGAATCCTGGTTAATTTTGTGTTTTTATTGTATTACATTTCTCACCTACCGAACTTCGGGTGAAACTTCATGGTTGTGCTCCTTTCCTGAGGAAACCAGGTAGTCTTTTGCGGGATTGCTGCTACATTACACTATGCGAGCGATATCTCGCAAATTTTCGGTGACCATTCCAGAGTTTTATTTCTTGTTTTTTGCAGCCGTGTCTGTCAATTGCTCCTGACAAACCTCATGCAATATGGTGTATTGTTTAATAATTTGCTTGTGGTAGAGTGATTCGTTTTTTTGTGTCATATATGATTATAAGCAAAAAAGGGGGTTTAATCTTGTTTTAAATGTGCTGAATACGTAGAAAATAGGTTATTTTGATCAAAATAGTAATTGAGTTCCGAAAGTGCTCAACTTAAGATAGTGGTGCTAGGGTGCTATAATTTTCAAGTTAATGGGTCGGACGGGTACTATTATGAGCGGGGTCCAGGAAATTAGGCAACAAAGAAATTAGACGACCGTAAAGAAACGGAATTTACGGACAACCAGTTTTTACTCAACCAAAAGTTAATTGAAGCATGTAAACGAAATTCACGCAATTTGCACGCAAGTTATTGTCGAAATTCCGTTAGTTTCTGATCGTCTCATTTCCTGTCGTCTAAGTTCCTAAACCCCATTATGAGCAGACCCGCCAGTTTTTACTTATCGGACTATGTGAGCCAACGTTTTACAAGACAAATTTCACCCAATTCTGAAACTGTTATTCGGCTGTCATAAGGAAGTAAAACTTTGCTTAGAAAACAAATTGACTGTTATGAACACATTCTTGTCGCCATTTTAACATTGCATCCCATAATCACGCATTTAGCTATAATTTGATTTAAAACAAGAATGAAAGTGGGATATTAAAAATACGGGGGAAACTGGAAAAAAGCCAGTCGTGCAAGTTTTTACCTTTCGTTGGGTCACCTCAATGTTGAGTTTGAACGAATATATGATGTTGTTCTTTGTCGTCTTGTCTTCTGTCTCTGGAAATGAATTTAAATCCATTCTCTTGATCAATTTGGGATAACAGCACGTGCAGAATACTGAAAACCTGAAAACAAAAGGGGAGACTGCAATCGTGTTAATAATTCAGCCCTCGTATTACCTGGATTTGATAAATATCAAACTTATTTTTTTTTCTTCCTCACACAAGCATCAATTTAATGGTGTAACGAGTGGTTTTAGAAGAGCAAGTATGACAATCAAGTTTTAATAATAGCCTAATTAGTCAGCATGCATGAAAAAAATTTAAGAAATGAAATAAATATCACAGGTGGTAGGATGGGGGTATGGCGTGAGAGGAGATAGAAGAAAAAGAATCAAATTCGGCTCTTTTCCAGCTTGTCGCAACCCCCCACCCCTCCCCCGCCCCTTTCGTAAAAATGATGTAAAAATTTGCTCACGCTGACGCGTTTTGATTCAGTTTATAACACACTTTCATATATAGAATTTCAGAAAAAGTTTAAGGGGGGAACTGGAAAAGAGCCCCAAATTTCTTCTTCCCTGTCAATGAACGCAGCTGTGAAATTAATTACTTTTTAATCTTGTTAGTTCAGTCAGACATGTATGCATGTTTTGTCGTTTTTCAGTGCAAGGAGGAGGTTCTGACATTATTTGCGTTGCTTTAATTTTGAATGAAGGGCTCTTTTCCACTTTCCCCTAAGTTTCAAGTTGTCTATTTTCTTAGTTGTTTTGTGTGCTATTATGGTTTAATGCGTGCGGTATGAAGAACAACTGTGTTCACAATAGTTAGTTTGTTCACCATTCAAAGTTGCATTATGCATACATAAAAATAGTTTTTCAAAACTGAAAGGCAAATGTGAGGGGAGGAGGGATGGAGGTAAAAAAGTGTGAAAGTAGATCTTGTCCAGGCTCTTTTTCCTTGTCTCCCCATCTGCAAAATTTTACAAATAATATTTTTGTTCGCGTAATCCAATTGTTATGAAAACTGGCATGCGGACTGACTAAGCCATGGCAAACATGTTTGGTCTTCAGACCTAACCTTGTAAAACCACTAGTTACACCATAAAATTGTTGATCATGCGAGGTGGGGCAAAAGAAAAGAGAGCCCTTTTCCATTATAGCCCCCTAGTAAATATTAGGGTAGGGGCCTCTACCCATTAAGCATATTTTGAGCTTGTTAGCATTTATAAACTATATTCTATTTAAACTAGTGATCAGGGTAGTGTATTACTACGAATCTTATTTTTTCTAGCCTAACTCGCAAACAAAAGTGTTCAAGTAATTGGAATTTTCACTGCATCCATCATTGGTAATTGCATAATATCTGTTCTCTGCATTATTTGCGGCTATTGTTTGGTACCTATAAGCGTCCGTTGCTGGGTGGCTAGTGTGTGAGACTCTTAATCTCTAGGTCGTAGTTTAGAATCTCAGACGTAGCCGAATTTTTACTAATTTGAGGCTTATTGCTTGTTTTTTTTTTGCCTTTTATAGAGCTGCTTTTTGTCCTGTTATCGCTAGTGTCTGCGAAGCCAAGCTTCGCCTCTGCGTTGAATTTTGCTTTTAATTGTGGTTGTTTTTTTACCTACTCGATTTGTAAGTTTATCATGTTTTGAAACTTTTCGGTCCTTATTTTCGACTAAACAGCGCTTTCGGCCTATTTTTTTGGCTTAATAGTCTTATATCGCGCCATTCGATGGGAAAGGGAGGGGGAAGGGATTTAAAATTTTTAAATCAGTTTCAAACCTTCTTGAATGGTTTCTGCTCAGGTATTTTTAGTTTTTTTGAAGTCCTCTGCTCTTGTTCTTGCACGTCATTTCATGCTGTTCGGAAAACTTGTTCGGCTTTTTTGATGCCCTTTTCTCTTGTTCTTGTGCGTCATGTTGTTTTAATTCAATACTTGTTGTATCGCAAGCTGAGCTTCGCCATTGTGTAAATTATGGATGTTATTTTGTATGAATGTACTTACGAATAAAAGCACCTTAATGGTTTCAAACTCAATGAAAAATTGACAAACGGGGGAGGGGGCTATAAAGGTAGAGAACCATTTGTTTTCGCACAGAAAAACTATCAGAATAAACGAATGAGCATGTACAGTGAAATAGTCTGTGAATGTTAATTTTTTTGTCATAACTTGTAACTCTATGCAGCGCTTATTTCAGTCGTAACAAAATATGGAAGCACTTATGTATGAATACACTTATGAATGAAATCACAACGATTGTTTTCAAGACACCTAAAAGTTGATAATCTGGGTATATATATTTTTTGCTACTAGGCTGGGGTTTGATGGTATAATGGGAATGGCGCAGAAAAGTTTCATATGGAAAATGTGATTGTAGTGAAATTTGGTCATCATGAAGTAAAATGCGAAATTGCTTCAACTTTTCATGAACTGATTGAGCGATCATTTTTGTTTTGGGCTGGATGTTTTTTAAATGAAAATCGTATTTTAATAAAAACGCCAAAGTTAGCTCGGTTAAAAAAGTGTTAATGCATTTTGGAACCAAA